TTAAATTCTGCTATAATATTGGAACTTCGATCAGGGAGAAGGAACGAGAAATATAATGCGGACCAAGTTTGCTTCAGAGCCCGTGTGGATCCGGATCGCTTGCCTGATAGTTTGCGTGGTACCCATTTAGTCACCGTGGTTGACACAGTCATGCAGCTATTTGAACTACTAATTCAAAGAGTGCGTAACCCGACTGATGGATCACCTCCTTTAAACCCGACAGATTTAATAAGATTCTGCATACAGGCAGAAGGACTAGACAAGCCCATATCAACCTGTTTAATGCCCGTATCAGAAATGACTGCCGAGAAAGTTACAGCATGTGTTGTTAAAGTTTTGCAGTCTAAGGACCAAATAGAGTTAGACACGGGATTTTTTGTTGACATTATAACTATCCGAAGAGATGTCGGTGCCGGAAGAGGGAAAGTTGTAAATATTTTGAAGGATAGGAGTTCTAAGAATTCCATTTTAGCCATTGAGCCAGATGATCTTGGGCTGTGCTGTGCGAAAGCTATTGTATATGCTATAGCACATTTGGATAACGATCGAAAGCTGATTGATGTTTTGAGGCGGAAAAGCCGACCAGCTCTTCAGAAGAGGTGAAATTGGCTCTAAGGAAGGGCTATGAGATAAGAGAGGTAAAAAAAAAAAAAAATTTTATTCGGTAAAAACTATGCATTTTTACATGTTGTGTCTTACTAATATATATATATATATGTATTTATTTTTTCAGGTTCATGAAGTGTACCACTTTGAGAACTCTTCTTCTTCTCTTTTCAAAAGCTTTATTGACTTGTTTTTGAAGATAAAACAGGAGTCTAGTGGCTGGCCTGCTGAATGTGTATCAGAAGAAGATCGTCTTCGCTACATTGAAGAGTACATGGAAAAAGAAGGTGTTGCCCTTGAATACTCTCAAATTATAAGAAATTTAGGAAGACGACAGGTCGCAAAGCTGATACTCAATAGTTTTTGGGGAAGGTAACGTAAATTTATTGTTAAACAACTTTGCTATGACTACTATTGTATCAATTTTCATTAATTGCAATTATTACCTTTTTTAGATGGGGCATGAACTGTAATAAGAGTCAACTGACGCATGTTAATACACTTCCTGATTTCAATAAGATATTTGCTGACCCTACGAAAAAGGTAAGCTTTTTTCAATTAATTAAATTGTTTGTGCACATTTTCATTGCTATTTAACATACCGTATACTTTTTTCCAATAGATCAAAGATGTCTATCTATTCAATGAAGAAGTTGCTGCCATACACTGGGAGTCAGATAAACATTTTGTGCCGCAAGATAAATCAACGAATATTTTCTTGGCCGCATTTACAACCTCATGGGCAAGGATGAAGCTGTATGAGGAAATGGATAAATTGGGAGAAAGCGTGCTTTACCATGATACAGACTCCATCATCTATTCCCAAAATGGTGAAAATGATCCTCCTATTGGAAACTTCTTGGGGGATTTCACGGACGAGTTGGATGGAGATGTTATCACAACATTCGTATCCGGTAATAGGATTTTTTTTTTAAATTTTATTTATTATTTCATTTAGATACTGTGCCGGAAGAGGGAAAGTTGTTAATATTTTGAAGGATAGGAATTCTAAGTATTCCATTTTAGCCATTGAGCCAGATGATCTTGGACTGTGTTGTGCGAAGGCCATTGTATATGCTACAGCACATTTGGATAACAATCGAAAGCTGATTGATGTTTTGAGGCGGAAAAATCGACCAGCTCTTCTAAACAAGGCTAAGGAACTGCATGCTGCTGCTGGAGTACCATTAGGTCCCTGTACGTTCAACGAAGTGGCGATATTTGAAAGGTTTTTGAATATCCAGATATCTGTTACTGTTCTTGAAAACAACAACAAGGTAATACACTTTGATTTGCTTTATTTGATATTTATACATTAATCTCATATGTAATTTGAAAAGAATGTTACTCTTTTTTAATGTATTTAAGATGATATAAATCATTTTAAAATTATTGATGTTAAAAAAAAAAAACTATATTATCTTCATTTTAATTTAATAAAATTTAGTTAATTAATATTTTGATAAAAATAAAAAAAGAAACTATACTATATTTAAAAAAAAAAAATTTTTTTTTTCTTTAACTACTAAGAATGGATTAAAGAATATTGTTTTATATAAATAACTCTTACAAGTATACATTTCAGGTTGCTTATAAAGGAGAGCATCGAGAGAGAAGAATCAACCTGCTATTATCAAATAATCACTATGACGTTATCAAGAGCATGAAAGGCTATCATGGAAGCAATTTTTATTGTGATAATTGCGACAAGCCATTTTCACGCATTGAAGATCACTTTTGTCCGAATTCGTGTAGAATTTGTACCAGACTGAAGTGTGAGGAGGGACAAAAAATAAGATGCGTTGATTGCTTCCGGTTATGTAGATCTAGGGAATGTTTTAATGCGCATAAGTCTACTATAGGATTGCAAGAAAACTCTTTGTGTGATAGGGTAAGTAAAAAAAAAAAAAAAATGTATCTGAGTATATATAAATATTATAGTAAATAAAACAAACCCTTTATTATTGTTTTAGCTTTATCAATGTCGCACCTGCTGTAAAGTTATTCGAAGGCGAGAATGCCCACCTGAGGTTCACCAATGTTGGACTACAAAATGTCCTTCCTGCAATACCTTTGTGGAGGCTGCAAAGCATAGATGTTCCTTACAGACCATCAAGCCACAAGTGCCTTCTGATAAATTGATTTTTTTTGATTTTGAAACTGATCAGTCTACAGGGGAGCACATAGTTAATTTTGCTGTGGCGCAGTATGCTGACGGGGCGGAAAACATATTTAAGGGTTATTCGGCTTGTGATGATTTTTGTTCCTGGCTTTTTACACGTCAACATAAAGGATTCACAGCAATCGCCCACAATATGAAAGCGTAAGTTTTTACTTAAAATATTTTTTTAGTTTTAAAAATCCTTTTCTTAATTGTGTTTTGTATGAAAAAAAAATGTGTTTTAAAATGTTTTATTTGAATACTTAGGTTTGATGGACAGTTTATAATGGGATGGCTGCTCCGTCAAGGAACAACTCCGGATGTTATACCGAATGGATCTAGTTTGATGAGTATACGTCACAATTCTCTAAGCATCCGCATCATTGACTCTTTAAACTTTATGCCTATGGCACTGTCAAAATTGCCCTCATGTTTCGGTCTTTCTGAATTAAAAAAAGGATACTTCCCACATCTCTTCAATCGACCAGAAAATCAAACATATAGAGGTCAGATGCCTGATCATTCCTTTTATAGCCCGGACAACATGGGGAGTGACGCCCGGAAACGGTTTCTCCAGTGGTATGAAGAAAATAAACACCTGGAATTTGATTTTCAAAAAGAAATGCTTGAATACTGTAGGTAAGAAATTTTTTTTTTTAATATTTTTAGAATGTAATGGATTTTTCCTTTTAATATATATATATATATATATAATTTATTTTTCTTTTACTTTCAGATCTGATGTTGATATACTCAGGAGATGTTGCTTGGAATTTAGACAGCAGTTTTTAGACATAGCTAATGTGGATCCTTTCAGGTGAAATATATATTTTTAATGTGAATATAGAACAATTTATTGTTGTTATTATTTTGTATTAACTTTTTTCTCCCTGAACAGGTACATTACAATAGCATCATCAAGCATGGCTGTGTTTCGAAGCTCTTGTATTCAACCTGACACGATTGGTATGGTTCCGGCATTGGGATATACATCCAGTACAAATTACAGTCCAGATTCCATACGGTGGCTCGATTTTACAGCAGAGAAAGAAGGTATTGCTATACAACATGCTTTGAATAGTACCGGTGAATGTAAAGTTGGAGGCATGTATGTAGATGGCTTTTGTTCTGAAACGAACACAGTCTATCAATTTCAGGTGAGTTGAGTTTTTTTTTTAAATATTGCTAATTATTTTTGTAAAAAAATGATGAAACTTAGTGCTCTATGTATTTATTTTTAGGGATGTTTTTTCCATGGATGCGATACTTGTTTCGATCGAGATGTTTCTCATCCTTTAAAAGGGGTAACGATGGCATCACTACTCCAAAAAACTCAACGTACGACAGAGCATCTTCGTTCCTTAGGTTACCATGTCATAGAATGCTGGGAACATGACTTTGAGAAAATGAAAAGAAATGATGAAGATCTAAAGAAATTTTTGCTCTCACACACGGTAAGAGATCGCCTTGTTCCTCGAGATGCGTTTTATGGGGGACGTACGAATGCCGTTAAGCTTTATCATGAAGGAAATGCAAAGTATGTGGATTTCACGTCCCTTTATCCATGGGTAAATATATGCATATATTTTTAAATTTGCTTCATTTCCTATTTGCGTAATTTCTTATATATAATTATTGTTGTTTGCTAATTTCTTATTTATTTTTTTTTTTGTCTTTATAGGTTAATAAATACTGTAAGTATCCGGTTGGACACCCGACCATCATCACCAAAGATTTTGCTTCATTGGAGAGTTATTTTGGACTGATTAAGTGCACCATTGCTCCTCCTAGGCAGTTATACTTACCAGTGTTGCCATATCGCTGCCACAACAAACTTATGTTTCCGCTCTGCAGGACTTGTGCTGAAACTAAGCAACAAAGTTCCTGTACACACACAGAGGAAGAAAGAAATCTTACAGGAACGTGGGTCACTGAAGAGGTGAAATTGGCTCTAAGGAAGGGCTATGAGATAAGAGAGGTAAAAAAAAATTTAAAAAAATTGCTATTCGGTAAAAACTATGCATTTTTGCATGTTGTGTCGTACTAATATATATGTATATGTGTATTTTTTTCAGGTTCATGAAGTGTACCACTTTGAGAACTCTTCTTCTTCTCTTTTCAAAAGCTTTATTGACTTGTTTTTGAAGATAAAGCAGGAGTCTAGTGGCTGGCCTGCTGAATGTGTATCAGAAGAAGATCGTCTTCGCTACATTGAAGAGTATATGGAAAAAGAAGGTGTTGCCCTTGAATACTCTCAAATTATAAAAAATTTAGGAAGACGACAGGTCGCAAAGCTGATACTCAATAGTTTTTGGGGAAGGTAGCGTAAATTTATTGTTAAACAACTTTTCTATGACCACTATTGTATCAATTTTCATTAATTGCAATTATTGCCTTTTTTAGATGGGGCATGAACTGTAATAAGAGTCAACTGACACATGTTAATACGCTTCCTGATTTCAATAAGATGTTTGCTGACACTACGAAAAAGGTAAGCTTTTTTCAAATAATTAAATTGTTTGTACACATTTTCATTGCTATTTAACATACCGTATACTTTTTTCCAATAGATCAAAGATGTCTATCTATTCAATGAAGAAGTTGCTGCCATACATTGGGAGTCAGATAAACATTTTGTGCCGCAAGATAAATCAACGAATATTTTCTTGGCCGCATTTACAACCTCATGGGCAAGGATGAAGCTGTATGAGGAAATGGATAAATTGGGAGAGAGCGTGCTTTACCATGATACGGACTCTATCATCTATTCCCAAAATGGTGAAAATGATCCTCCTATTGGAAACTTCTTGGGGGATTTCACGGACGAGTTGGATGGAGATGTTATCACAACATTCGTATCCGGTAATAGAATTTTTTTAAAAATTTTATTTATTATTTCATTTAGATACTAATTAGATATATCTTTGGAAAATGAATATACTTTCAATTCAAACTATAATAATACATTAGAAATTTTTGATTTTTTCCCCTTCATTTTTGTAATTATTATTATTTTCTTTTATTAAGGTGGACCTAAGAACTATGCGTATGAAACAGCTAATGGTAAACAATGTTGCAAGGTGAGAGGCTTTACGTTAAATTTTCGTAATTCTGAAAAGTTAAACTTCGAGTCCGTCAAGAAAATGGTTTGTGAGCTGAGTGATGATCATATTTCCCTTCATAACCCCACCAAAATCTGCAGAGACGCAAAAAGACGGAGAGTAGTAAATAAACCTGAAACGAAGCTGTACAAAGTTGTTTATGACAAGCGGGTGATTCAACCNTGGTTTGTGAGCTGAGTGATGATCATATTTCCCTTCATAACCCCACCAAAATCTGCAGAGATGCAAAAAGAAGAAAAGTTATAAACAAACCTGAAACGAAGCTGTACAAAGTTGTTTATGACAAGCGGGTGATTCAACCTGACCTGACGACGCTCCCTTACGGATATTGAAAACAACAACAACAACAATGTCTTGTGGGTTAGCCTAATGCGGATAAATCCGCTGCACTGGCCTCAAGAACTCTGTATGTGCTGTTTTAAGTCGAGCCACGCGTATCCTTTTATCTTTACCAGGAAAGACGGCAATAACTTTAGCCATCGGCCAGTGTAATCTTTTCTTTAAGTCATCTTCGATTAACACAATCTCGCCAACCTTTAGATCATAATAGTTATTCTTCTTGCGCGGTTGAAGGAGTGTCGCTAGGTATTCGCGGCGAAATCTTTTTCTCAACTGTTCTCTTAACGTCTGTTGATACTTATAGCGTTTTTTAAGATCTATTGTATCCAGCTGATCGAAATCAGGTACTCCCACCGTCGAGATCTCTTGTAAAGACATGGGCGGAGAAAGAGGTATTAAGTCATCCAGATCTTCTGAGAGGTATGTAAGAGGTCTTGAATTGATAACGGACCAAAATTTTTCGAAGAATATTTTTTACCAATTTCACCATAATCTCCCAAAAGCCTCCCTACCAGGGAGCAGACGGTGGATTAAATTTCCATTCAATTTTGTATACTGATGTTTCAGCTTCAATTGACTTCCAGTCTAAGGACTGAAGTAGATTCTCAGCTCCTATAAAATTACTCCTGTTGTCACAATAGATGATGTGAGGTCTTCCTCGGCGAGCAATGAATCTTCGTAAACTCAAAAGGAACGCCTTAGTTGAAAGTGACTGCACCAGTTCGAGATGTATTGATCGATAAACGGCACATGTGTAGATGACAATCCAACTTTTCACACCTTCCTTTAAATGAAGAGCTCCGGCAAGATCTATACCGACCACTTCAAAAACAGAAGCTTCTTTAACTCTGTCTTCAGGTAAACCTACGGGAACAGTTTTTATACTTCGTGCCTTATATCGTTTGCATCTAACACAGGTTTTGAGGATGCGACGAACTGCTCGACGTCCATTAATAATCCAATAATTTTCTCTTAAATTGGACAGTAAAATTTGCAGTCCAGCATGTAAACATTTCAAAGGCTTCTCTTTGATTAGCATATCAACCAACATAAGTTTTTCTGGAAGCAAAATAGGCAATCTAAAATTCTCGGTACCATTTCTCTCTGTCAATTTTGTTTTAATTCTATATATTCCTTTTTCATCTTTGAAGACATTCAATGATTTTAAGCTTTTTATATAATCTGCAGTAAATGCTTCATTTTGAATAACTTTCATAAGTTTGATTTCTGCATTTTCTACTTC